TGATTCGTTTAGCATACTGCCTTTTCATTATTATCATTATCATCGCCCTTAGCAGCTCCCACTATAATCCGAACCACCGTGTAATGTTCTACTTTGCTTATATATGTATATTGTTTTATTTATGCATTTCTCTCTCATGTGTCATTATTATTGTAGTATATCATTTGTATTTCTTTGTTGTCACATCATTTTCTCCACATTCATTCCTCTTTTTCAAAATGAGTTAAATGGAATTAAAATTTATTCTGAGATATAATAATAAATAATTTGAAAGATGCTTTCTCCTTTACTTTTTTAGTTCAATACCTTAAAATTGCATGCGGCTACAGAATTCTCTCTTTTTACTTAGATGCCTAAACAGAATACTGCTTGTGTGCATTTGGTACGTTAAGTGAAACACTATAGCTTTCTGGATAAAAAACGAAATTTGAACATCCTTTAGCATAAACTTTTATTTCTGGTTAAAATGACCTAGGGGTTAGTATTTAAGTCATATATAGCCATTGTATATAATGACAGCCTAATCATACAGGATGAAAAATAATGAGGTTTTCTGTCGGGAAAAGGACTCCCATGCAGGTGATACTCTCTGATTTTTTTCTCTCCTGGCCCAGTGAGTTTTATGGACTTAATCTTGTTTAGAGTGTTTAGAACACTCAGACTGACAATCCATTGTGATCCAAACATTCTATAACTGATGAACGATCCTTTGTTGTTTTACTTTGGCCCATTAAAATAAATAGCTTGGGGAAAATTAACCAAAAACTTATTGCATTTTTTTCTGTGTATAATATTATATTTAACCAATAATTCAGTTCTTACCCCCAATGATATTCTAAAAGCTTCCATGTAGCTTCAGTGTGGAGGCTAAAAGTTTCAGCATATGAGAAAGGGGCAGAACTAAGATTGGCAGTGAAGATGTGTCTTCACTACTAGAAAAAAACCTCGATATGACACCGTGGCAGGAGTTTCAAATGGGTCTCAATTTATCACTGCCTTTCTGTCTGGCCTCCAGATTAATGAATGGCAGTAGAATATTGGAAGGGACAGGAATTCTCCACTATCTGTTTTTTATTAACAAGTAAAAAAATATGAATCTTAGCTTCTGGAAATTTTGAATAATTGTTTCATATACATAGGCTAGGAAGGCTCAAGTAGCCGTAATTCTATACATGGGAAAAGCACAATACATAATAAAAATAAAAGTGTAATAAAAATAAAAGTACTCTAATGGTAAAGGTACTTAGAAAAATACAGGGAAAATGTGTTCCTCAGGAGTGCTGAAAAATAGCATTGCTTTTTGAAAAACAACTTAAATTATGGCTGTTCCCACTCACTGCCTCCATCTAAGATGACAAACAGAATTCTGATGCAGAGGGTAGATACCTGGAATTTTACTCTTACATATAATTTTGGAGGTCATTCTAGATGTATTTTGTAAAACATGCATTGGATAATTCCAACTCCTGTTCATCTATTCAAATAAAGAAAATAATACAAAATTCAGTGATATTTACACACATATGTATATGTGTTATACATATAACATGTAATTTAGAAAGAACCATTTGAATCTATTAATTTCATTAAATCTTAATAGGCTATTAAATCGCTTAATATTCTTCTCAAAAATAAGTACACAGCCATGCATGTGTGAAGCAACTGAGATAAACCACCCAAACTTTTATTTTGAGGGACTTAGAAATTTGAAAGACAATAAGCCCAATTATGTGTGCCTCCCTCACATAAATCCTTTGATAGTATTCCTCTAGAGTTACAGCATTTCAGACATCCATTTGAAGTTTGAATAATTAGAGAAACCAGAGCCAACTTACACACTGTTTTACATTCTTTTCAGTTTCATTTACTCTTTCATATGTGATCAAATTATTCCCTTGCTAAGCTGTGTTATTCATGAAGCAAGGAGTTGCCGTGTTAAATCTGCGTAGACCAGCTAACCTGCATGGGTACAAATTGCACTCACACTCACACCAGGTAGCTCACAAAGGAGCGTGGATAGCACAGAGGGATACATGGCTAGACAGATGAGTGCCTCAGTGTGCTGATCTCTGTATATGAAGGACAACCTTTTTATTTGTTTTAATTTGAGCAGCAGCAGGTGAAAAGATGAATGTGTAGATGCCTTAAATCAAAGAGGCAGTGGGCCTGGTTGGTGTATGATCTGATGATTAACAAGCTAACACTTGGCTTGTTAAGAAGCAGGTCACTCACCTCTGCCAGGGGACTTTACACCTATGATAGTGTGAAAAAATTTGATGTGATGACTTTTTTCAGTATATCATGGCACAAGTCGTACATGACCAACGGTTCCTTCTGAGCAGTTCAGCCAAGTGCCCTTTGGTAACTTAACCTGATTTCCCTACTAACCACTCCAAACATTTTATCTTCGACCCACAAGCCTATACAGCAAAATCTTTTTTGCCACCTTGTAATATGAAAAAGAAGAAATTTTAGGAGGAAAAATCATCACAGCAGCATCATAGGTTAATTATGATGGAATCTTGTGAGGGGTATGGAGGAAACAGACCAGGAGGAGAGTGGCAGGAGGGAGAAGTGGGTGGAACACAATCCTGAGGAAAGAAGGAAGGCGTGAACACATGGAAAAAGGCCACAAAAGGGGATCATAGAGTAGGTATTTTGTTATGTATGTATTAGTCTTCTGTCTAATGGATCTTAATTTCCTTTGGTCCTAATTTTTGTAAATGTCTGGTCCTAATTTTTGTAAAATGTCAGCAGAACCCACAGAACCCATTGTATAAAATTGTAATTTATCTTTTATTATATTCAACTAATTGTTATATATAACAATAGTATCATTTCTTCTATATATGCATAGTTTTGTTGCATTGTTATATTTATAATGTATGCAGACACAAAATAAAGAATACAAATAATGCCATCAAAATTTGATGATGAAAGATCATATTCTTGACCTTTTATTCACAAGGAGCTTAGATAGCCCACCCCTGTGGTTATGGTGTTTACTATAATTTAGTAAAGGAAGACAAGGAAAGACATAGAAAGCATATTGGACTCAAAAAATGCTCTCTGGCATTTAGTGGGATATGACACGTTGGAAATATCCTCCACTGTGACCATCCGGAAAGATGTTATTAAAAGACTTCTTACCTGTGCTTACCTCAATGTGTAGCTCTTAAGAGAAAGGAGCCTAAGTTACCTGGGTGCCCATTAGACCTACTAGTATAGTCTCACAACTTCAGATAAGTAACCCTTTCCTGCAAAAACACCTGAAATGGTCCAGGGAAATTAATTCTTGGTAAAGCAAAGAGGAGACGTTGCTTTTTGGACTAAAATTGTGAAGACTATATCAAACTTTTTAAATTGAGTCATGTAAATTCAGCAAAAGCATTTTACTGTATAATGTATTCAGGATCTATCGCTAATCATACATAATAAAGATAGATATTGAGATGAAAATGAATGTAAAATGGATACCAAAGCCAACAACATTTATATTTGAGAACTCTGTAGCTAAAAGGAGGAGGAGGAGGAGGAGGAAGGGGAGGGGGAGAGGGATGGGGAGGAGAGGGAGGAGGGGAAGGAGAAAAGGAAGGAAGGGAGAAAGAAAGGCACATGAGAATAAAGGAAGGCAGGATAGAAGGAAAAAAGAGGGTTTTGCATGTTGATTCTATGTTGTCCAATCTGACATCTGGTCCTGTGGGCTACAGATAGGTTAGAAGAGCCCATGCCCAGACACCCACTGAATATATTAAGGTGGTTAGTTCAAGATACTGACTTAGTGGAATCAAGATGACCTCATAGGCCATAGTCAGAAAGTGCATGTTCTCATGCAGTTCTTCATCTGACCTCTTCCTTTCATAAGGGTTGAGATTTTAAACGTGGAAACTAACTGGATCAGTTGGGTTTCATTTTGCTCATAGGTATTTTTAATTTGGATTAATGTAAAAAGTCCATAAGTTTAACATTTTATTTAAGACCTCGCTGATTCCTGGACCTAATTGTTGGCATGGCCTTATCACAGGAAAGCAGTAGGTCAAGCCGGTGATTTGTCTACTCAGAGTCCCATCTCCTAAAAAGCCCTTGTTCCCATTGACAAAGTTAGGGATTGTACTGGCTGAATGGAGCTGACTTTGAAATAGCATCAAGGTAAACCCAAGTATTTTCAAAGTCAGAAGACATTTATAAGTGATATTTGTTAAATGTCTTTCAGGTGGAGTGCTGAAGAAAAATGTGATTAACTACTCTACAAAAGTAATAGCTATTTCTCTTTTACTGAAACCATGAGTCAGACCAATTATTATATAAGTTTTTCAAAGTTTACAATTCCTAAACATTCCTTTCAACTGATATAGCATTATAATGTTAAGCACAATGCCAAGTAAATCTAGTGTTTTACATCTTTTAAAAGGTCTTTTTAAAACAGTGTCTTGTTTGAATCTCACTCAGAAAAAAAAATGTTCTTTTTGGTAGGTGAGGCATATGTAATTATGGCCATGTTACCTGCTTACATCTGTTAAGTAAATTTCCCAATATTCAATAAATCTTGCAGCCAGGTAAAACACATCTTCTGATTCTTTCTTTCTTCCTGTCCTCATGATCTAAAAATATTAATTATGTTCATTCAAGCATCAATTTTTTTCTTTGATAATTTGAACTCTATCTCAAAGTAAATGTACTGAGAAAGATAATCATGTTTTTGAAAGAAAATGGTTTTGAAATGTAAAAGGATAGAGTATTAATGAAATGAAATCAAATGTTATTGAGACCTGATATGTAATTAAACTTAGATGAAATGAAAACTAACCTTAATCAGTATGTATCAACCATTTTCATTTTCTGTGCCCATTCAAAGATTTTTAAAAACAATACTGGCATATAGTTGAAAAAATTTCCTGCAATTATGTCTCTGTTCATAATAGTTATTTGGGAGTAATGGACAGGCCATGCTTATTAGTTTAACCATGTTAAGTTTTCCTGTATCTTTTCCTCCCTGCTAGGAAAAGGAAGATGACAAATCAGACACCTCAAGTTCTCAACAGCCGAAAAGCCCACAAGGTCTGAGCGACACAGGGTATTCTTCGGACGGCATATCAGGTTCACTTGGTGAAATTCCAAGTCTTATTACAAGCGATGAAAAGGATTTGCTCAAGGGACTCAAAAAGGACTCTTTTTCACAAGAAAGCAGCCCTTCCAGCCCCTCAGATTTGGCTAAGTTAGAAAGCACAGTTCTGTCCATTTTGGAAGCCCAGGCCAGTACGCTTGTTGAAGAAAAGTCAGAAAAGAAACCACAACCTCATGAGGTTTCTTTTGAGCAGCCTAAGGACCCACAGAAAACTCAGACTTTAACTGAAACACTGGAAACTAAAATTTCAGAAGGGAAGTTCAAAGAGAGTCAAGCAGAAAAAGATACTTTTAAAAAAGATAGCCAGCAAGACCTTCCTTCCAGAAAGGACCATAAAGAAAAGTCTGAGTTTGTTGATGGCATAATGACAAGAAGACAGCCTTATGATTCAGTTGAAGACAGCAGTGAAAGTGAAAACTCCCCTGTTCCACAAAGAAAACGGAGAACGAGTGTTGGTTCATCAAGCAGTGATGAGTATAAACAGGAAGATAGTCAAGGATCAGGGGAAGAGGAGGACTTCATCCGTAAACAAATCATAGAAATGAGTGCAGATGAAGATGCTTCAGGTTCTGAAGATGATGAGTTCATTAGAAACCAGCTCAAAGAGATCAGTAGTAGTATTGAGAGCCAGAAAAAGGAAGAAACAAAAGGGAAAGGGAAAGTCACAGCAGGGAAACACAGGCGACTGACTCGAAAGAGTAGCACAAGCTTTGATGATGATGCAGGGAGACGCCATTCATGGCATGATGAAGATGATGAGACATTTGATGAAAGCCCTGAACTTAAATACAGAGAAACTAAAAGTCAGGAGAGTGAAGAACTGGTAGTTGCTGGAGGAGGAGGGCTACGTCGATTTAAAACAATCGAACTCAATAGCACAATAGCAGAGAAGTATTCTGCAGAGTCATCACAGAAAAAATCTGCACTGTATTTTGATGAGGAGCCAGAATTAGAAATGGAAAGCCTGACAGACTCTCCAGAAGATAGGTCAAGGGGGGAAGGATCTTCTAGTCTTCATGCTTCCAGCTTCACTCCTGGAACATCCCCTACATCCGTGTCCTCACTTGATGAGGACAGTGACAGTAGCCCGAGTCACAAAAAAGGAGAGAGCAAACAACAACGCAAAGCTCGGCACAGATCACATGGTCCTCTTTTACCTACTATTGAAGATTCTTCAGAGGAAGAAGAACTGAGAGAGGAAGAAGAATTATTAAAGGAGCAAGAAAAGCAGCGGGAATTAGAACAGCAACAAAGAAAGAGTTCTAGTAAAAAATCAAAGAAAGACAAAGATGAACTTCGAGCTCAGAGAAGGAGGGAAAGACCAAAGACACCACCGAGCAATCTCTCTCCCATTGAAGATGCGTCTCCGACAGAAGAATTACGTCAGGCTGCAGAAATGGAGGAGCTCCATCGATCTTCGTGTTCTGAATATTCACCTAGCATAGAGTCAGACCCAGAGGGTTTTGAAATAAGCCCAGAAAAAATAATAGAAGTGCAAAAAGTTTATAAATTGCCCACAGCTGTGTCTTTATACTCACCGACAGATGAGCATTCTCTTATGCAGGAAGAAGGTAGCCAAAAGTCATTAAAAAATGCTGAGGAGATGTATGAAGAAATGATGCATAAAACTCACAAATATAAAGCTTTTCCAGCTGCAAACGAACGAGATGAAATGTTTGAAAAGGAGCCTTTGTATGGTGGGATGTTAATAGAGGATTACATTTATGAATCGTTAGTAGAGGACACATACAATGGCTCAGTAGATGGCAGTCTGCTAACCAGGCAAGAAGACGAGAATGGATTTATGCAGCAGAGAGGGAGAGAACAAAAGATAAAACTTCCAGAACAGATTTATGATGATCCTATGCAGAAAATTACAGACCTCCAAAAAGAATTTTATGAGCTAGAAAGTTTACATTCTGTTGTGCCTCAAGAAGACATTGTTTCAAGTTCTTATATCATCCCAGAAAGCCACGAGATAGTGGATCTGGGTAGTATGGTAACTTCTACCAGTGAAGAAAAAAAATTATTAGATGCTGATGCTGCCTATGAAGAACTTATGAAGAGGCGACAGATGCAGCTAACACCCGAATCCAGTCCAACCCAGCCCCCCATCGGGGATGAAATGATAGAGTCTACTCTGGACTTTGATAGGGCACCCGATGCATCTTTGACATCAAGTATTCTTTCAGGAGCATCTCTTACAGATTCAACCAGCAGTACAACACTCTCTATCCCAGACGTTAAAATAACCCAACATTTTTCAACAGAGGAAATTGAAGATGAATATGTAACTGATTACACAAGAGAAATTCAAGAGATAATTGCCCATGAATCACTAATTTTGACCTATTCTGAGCCTTCCGAAAGTGCTACATCTGTGCCACCCTCTGACACACCTTCCCTCACCTCATCTGTTTCTTCAGTTTGTACCACAGACAGCTCCTCACCCATCACTACCCTGGATAGTATAACCACAGTTTATACAGAGCCAGTAGACATAGTAGCTAAATTTGAAGATTCTGAGATCTCTTCATCAACATATTTTCCAGGCAGCATTATCGATTATCCAGAAGAAATAAGTGCAGGTTTAGATCAGACTACCAAACCAGACGGCAGACCTAGTGCTGATCATATCATGATTTCCTTATCTGATATGGCACCTTCTCTCTTGGAATCTATAGAAACTAAACCCAAGGAGCTAATTGCTGACACTATTTCCACTACCTTACTTATATCCGAGAAAGACCCAATGAAGAAAGCCAAGAAGGAAACTGGGAATGGGATTGTTCTGGAAGTTTTGGAAGCTTATAGAGATAAAAGGAAGGAGCCTGAGGCTGAACTAACAAAAATTAGCTTATCTGAAACTGATTTTGATCAACCACCATCTTCTGGAATAGCCCTTCCAAAGAAGGAGCAGGTTTCAACTACATGTATATCTGGAGGGGTCTTTGGTCAAGCAAAGCCTGCATCTCAGTTACCATTTGGCAGTCCTTCCGTTTCCTCCCTTCCAACTAAAACTCATACATTCTTTCCAAGTTCTCCTTTGGAGACGTCAGCTCAACCTCCTCCCCCACCTCCTCCTCCTCCTCCCCCACCACTTCCTCCACCAACCTCACCTAAACCACCTGTTCATCCTAAAAAAAAGTTAACAGTTATAGCTCCAGTGACTCCAACTACTACAGCTGTACCTCTGATTGACACTGTTACTACTGTAGAGATCACAGCTATTCCAAGGAGTAATGGGTTACCCACTGCACCTCCTCCTGTTCCTCCTAAGCCATCTTCAATTCCATCTGGACTTGTATTTACACATAGACCTGAGCCAAGCAAACCTCCCATTGCCCCTAAACCAGCAGTTCCTCAGCTTCCAGTAACAACACAAAAACCGACGGATACACAACCCAAACCAACAGGTCTATCTTTAACTTCAAATATGACATTAAATTTAGTCACTTCAGCAGATTATAAATTACCTTCCCCTACCTCCCCACTGTCCCCTCATTCTAACAAGTCCTCACCAAGGTTTTCCAAATCCCTCATGGAAACTTATGTGGTGATCACATTGCCATCCGAACCTGGGACTCCAACAGATTCTTCAACTAGTCAAGCAATTACCAGTTGGCCCCTGGGGTCACCCCCCAAAGACCTGATTTCTATTGAACCAGTGTTTTCTGTAGTCCCTCCTATGACAACTGTAGAAATTTCACGTTCATCAGAACAGAGCTTGTACATCTCAGGAGCTCTGGAGACATTCTCTGCTATACCTGTCACAACCCTATCTTCATTTCAAGTGGCCCCAACTTCAGTTACACAGTTTCTGACGAGTGAAGTTTCTAAGGCTGAGGTTTCAGCAGCCAGAAGTACAGCCCCTGGTGTCAGTCTCAGCAGCGTCTCTATAACAATTCCTCCAGAGCCTCTTGCTTTAGATAACCTACATGTAGAGAAGCAGCAGCATAAAGAAAATGGAAAGTTACAACTTACTGGTGATGCCATTGATTTGCGTACAGTACCAAAAGTAGAAATTAAAGTAACTGAAAAATGCATGGATCTTTCAGCTTCTACGATGGATGTGAAAAGGCTAGCCACAACAAAGGAAGCTTATGGGAGACAAATCAGTGCTGTCCAACCCTCTATTATAAATCTCAGTGCAACTCCATCAGCAGTAACTCCAATATCCCTGGTCACTGAGACAGTAACTGCTGTCACATGCACAGCTAGCACAAGTTACACCACGGGCACAGAAAGCCTAGTGGGTATAGAACATGCAACACCACCACCACTTCAGCTTACCACATCAAAGCATACTGAGCCCCTATACAGGATAACAAGTGGTCAGGCCTTTCCTACAGTTAGGCAGGAAGCACCAATAAACTTATCGTTAGGGACTTCAGCACATGCAACGACACTGGCTATGACAAAGCCTGTCACTGCACCTCCTGTTGGTGTCACAAATGGATGGACCGAGAGCACCACATCCCAGGGAATTGCAGATGGGGAAGTAGTGGATCTCAGTACGACAAAGTCTCACAGAACTGTTGTCACGATGGATGAATCCACTTCAAGTGTGGTGACCAAAATAATAGAAGATGATGAAAAACCTGTTGATCTGACTGCAGGAAGGAGAGCTGTGTGCTGTGATGTGGTTTATAAGTTACCTTTCGGAAGGAGCTGCACAGCACAGCAGCCTGCAACTACTCTTCCTGAGGATCGTTTTGGTTATAGGGATGACCACTACCAGTATGACCGGTCAGGGCCATACGGTTATAGAGGGATTGGGGGAATGAAACCTTCCATGTCTGACACTAATTTAGCAGAAGCTGGACATTTTGTCTATAAAAGTAAGAATACTTTTGCTTATTCTGGAGAAACTGATGCAGCAGTAGATCTAACTTCAGGGAGAATTACGACAGGTCAGTATGATGTGGCATCAGATCTTTCCTTGAAATATCATGGTGTTCCTCATCTCATTTCAGGATAAAAATGCAGTCCCTTTTTCCATTTTGCTACTTTTTCTCTTTCTTTGGATGTTTTGGCAACATTTTTTGGAGTACATGTGCGCTTCTGTTTCTTCATTGTTTTTTTTTAATTTGTTCTGCCCAAAGTCGCCTGCATGTGCCTGCATGTTCAACATCGCTTTTATTCTGCATCTAATTAGGTTAACCTGTGGATTTGCATGCAGTCCCATTCATTATGTTCATCAAGATTGAGAGCACTTTCAAACCCCAAAGCATCATTCATTCTGGGAACTGGACTATAACTCTCCCCTGTATTTCAGGTGAGGTAATGGATTATTCAAGCAAGACCACAGGTCCATATCCAGAAACACGACCAGTCATTTCAGGAGCTGGGATTAGTACCCCCCAGTATTCCACAACAAGAATGACTCCACCTCCAGGACCCCAGTATGGTGTGGGGAGTGTGCTGAGGTCATCCAATGGTGTTGTCTATTCTTCAGTGGCAACTCCAATTCCCTCCACATTTGCTATCACCACACAGCCTGGCTCCATTTTCAGCACCACCGTGAGGGATCTGTCTGGTGTGCACACAACTGCTGCAGTGACTTCATTATCCGCCCTTCACCAGAGCCAGCCAATGCCTAGATCATATTTCCTAACAACAGGTGCATCTGAAACGGACATTGTAGTAACTGGTATTGATATCAATGCCAGTTTGCAAACTATTACTATGGAAACTCTTGCTGCTGAGACAATGGACTCAGTTCCCACTTTAACCACAGCATCTGAAGTGTTCCCTGAGGTGGGGGGAGATGAAAGTGCTATTTTAATTGTCCCTGAAGAAGATAAACAACAGCAGCAGCTCGACTTGGAGCGTGAGCTCTTGGAACTGGAGAAACTTAAGCAACAGCGTTTTGCTGAGGAATTGGAGTGGGAACGTCAGGAAATTCAAAGGTTCCGAGAACAAGAGAAGTTCATGGTTCAGAAAAAGCTGGAGGAACTGCAGTCTATGAAGCAGCACCTTCTCTATCAGCAGGAAGAAGAGCGTCAAGCCCAGTTCATAATGAGGCAGGAGACATTAGCTCAGCAGCAGTTACAGCTGGAGCAGATCCAGCAGCTGCAGCAACAGCTTCACCAGCAGCTAGAAGAGCAAAAGATTCGCCAGATCTACCAATATAACTATGATCCTTCTGGAACCGCATCTCCACAAACCACGACAGAGCAGGCAATGCTGGAAGGTCAGTATGCTGCCCCAGAAGGTGGTCAGTTTTGGGCGACTGAAGATGCGACCACCACAGCCTCAGCCGTTGTGGCCATTGAAATACCACAAAGCCAAGGATGGTACACAGTTCAGTCTGATGGCGTTACTCAGTACATTGCCCCACCTGGCATCCTGAGTACTGTTTCAGAAATACCGTTGACAGACGTTGTTGTAAAAGATGAAAAAGCACCTAAAAAGAGAAGCGCTGGCGCTAAAGTCCGTGGACAGTATGAAGAGATAGGGGAAAGTATGGCGGACGATCCCCGATGTTTTAAAAAGATAGTTGACAGTGGCGTACAGACCGACGATGAGGATGCAGCAGATCGGAGTTACACAAGTAGGAGGAGAAAGACTAAAAAGAGTGTTGATACAAGTGTCCAAACTGATGATGAAGATCAGGACGAATGGGATATGCCTACGAGATCAAGGAGAAAGGCTCGTGTGGCGAAATACGGGGACAGCACCACAGAGGCTGAGAAGACCAAACCCCCTTCCAAGGTCTCCAGCATAGCAGTTCAAACAGTGGCAGAGATCTCTGTGCAAACTGAACCAGTTGGAACCATACGAACACCTTCGATACGTGCACGCGTGGATGCCAAGGTAGAAATAATTAAACACATTTCAGCACCTGAAAAGACTTACAAAGGGGGCAGTTTAGGATGTCAAACAGAAGCAGATTCAGACACACAAAGTCCTCAATACCTGAGTGCCACATCTCCACCCAAAGACAAGAAACGCCCAACACCTTTAGAGATTGGTTATTCATCTCACCTTCGGGCAGATTCCACACTACAGCTGGCTCCTTCCCCACCCAAATCTCCAAAAGTCCTTTACTCACCCATCTCACCACTTTCACCAGGCAAAGCCTTAGAATCAGCCTTTGTACCTTATGAGAAACCCCTCCCTGATGAGATAAGTCCACAGAAAGTACTGCACCCAGATATGGCTAAAGTCCCCCCAGCGAGCCCTAAGACAGCCAAGATGATGCAGCGGTCCCTGTCTGACCCCAAGCCTCTGAGTCCAACCGCAGACGAGAGTTCCAGGGCTCCTTTTCAGTATACGGAGGGCTACACGGTAAGAGTGATTCTTTTCAGTTAGAAGACAGTGGCTGAGTGGATGTTAACCATGTGTTTGCAGACTTTAGAAAGCAATGAAGCTCCTGGTACCTTAGAAACCTAATAGTAAATTTCGGGGAGGATTATTGCATTAGGAATTTGGGGTAAAAATAGAAATGTAAACATTCCCTTAAAAATATGACAAAAAGAAAACATTTTTGTGAGGCAAAATTGCAAAAGAAGTTTATTATTTTATGACTTAATAAAATTGAAAGTTTTATTCTAATCTTGAAATCTATATCAATTGTAGAGTGTAGTTTCAATGAATATAATTAATATTCATATTCAGGGATGGAATAAACATTGACTATAAACTGAGAAGTCAAAGTATGACTGTAAATTTAGACCCATGGATACTGAAATGCTTAGTGGGAAGATCCTTGGAGATTATCTAATCATCCTCTTCTTTCTCCAGCCAGAATGTTTTCACAAAAGGGCTTAAGATGCTTACTGCTCAAAAGAGAGCATTTGTAGAGCAGCCAAAAGAGTGTGTGATATAATCTTCATAGTTCACCCATGCTTATTTTTTTTCTGGCATTGTTCTTAATCTAACCTCAGGTAAGCCTTAGTCCTGGTGCTTACACAAGCAAAATAATTTTTATGTTTCTTTGAATAATTGAGATTATTAATTATGTGGAAATACATAGCTATGCTTCAAAGGGAAAAGAACATATATCAATATATTGGACACATTTGTGGAGATCTCCATAGCTGAAAATAAGAAATTATAATCAGCTATTAAAGCAGGTATATTTTACTTAAGAAAATCTAATATATCTCTTTAGAAGGTTATTGATAAATATGATAGTTCAATTTGAAATGAGATTTATGTTCAAATTAAAAGTTTCCCTATAACACTGGTTTTTGAATTCTAAGTCTTTACACCTTAAAGCCTCTAAATAGGTTTTTCTGAGATATCACTATATATCCACTGACCCATGTATGTTAAACATTGGCTGTGGGCTGAAAAATATGCCATTATATATGACTGTAAGTCTATTTATAGGTATATAGATATAACAATAGTCACTAATTACAAATTCATGTCTAAGTTTTCTGGTTTCCTAGTTGCATTCTGTTATTATATACTTTCTCAAACAGTATACCTAAATGTAAAACTGTCTTCATGCAGGGAACAGAAGTTATAACTGTTAAGTCAGAGAACCATTGGTTCACTGAGATTTCTTTCAATTTACAGAGAATTATTTTATATATAGCTTTGTTTCTAGAATTAAATCTATTCTGAGAAGTGATTTTTTAATTCAGCTATAACACACAGGTATTTTTACAGCTGTGGTTTATAAATTCATGTAAAGGGTTACTTGAAAAACTTTGAAAATGTGGTTTTTTATAGTATTTTAAAGTAATATTGAAGGCTTGTCATTAGAAAGAATAATGGGCTTTTCCAGTTCATGTACTGATCATATACTTAATACCTTTAATTATACCTTGTACCATTAATTCAAACAAAATCAGTTAAAGAAGAGATTCAAGTTGTCAATATTTTTTCCACATAGTATTCACTTTGGACTTGGAAGTATGAAATGAAAGATACAGTGGGTTGTATGGGTTCTATTATTGATTGTATTGGTAAAGATTAATTATCTAATCATAAAAGAAGTTGAGTAGAATTACTAAATCATACTCTGAGTTTGAAAAATCCTAGATATATCGAGCGGTAGAGCACAATTCAATAGTCCCTTTTTCTAAAATGCAAACTCAATGTGTGCTTTAATATGGAATAATTGTAAACATATTAAAAGATATTGTTTTATTTTACACACAAGGGAGGTCATTTGATACACAGGCAATGTTTTCAGCACTTTAGATACTAGGTTCTACAGTACAGATTTTATTTTATACTTCGTTTTTCTGCAAATGTCTGGACATGCTTTGAGTCTGTTTTAAACTAAATTTCTTAATTATAAGCATGGATTACTAAGTATTAGTTGTACTGAACAGAATAATTGTGTAAGTAATATTCATAGCGATGTGAGTTTAATTTAAGTCTAGCTCAGTAGTATTCATATTGTTAATTTTCTCAGACCGATAAAGCTGAACAACATCATACCATTCATCCGGCATTGAGATAAAATAGTAACAATTATAATACAGCATGAAAAAAAATTATATAGTATATGAGATTCTGTACTAAGATCTCCTCTCCTAGAAGTGTCAGGAAATGTTTCAAACAGGAGGCTCTGAAACGTGAAGGTAAGGTCTCTATTGGGCCATGAAATGAAAAATGGAGTCATTCTAAATAGAGGGAACAGAATGTGCAAAGGTTCAGACTGATGAACAGACATAAAGCAAACAGGAGAAGGAAAGAGTTTACCATAAATGAAACTGGAAAGGCAAGTAAGGAACAGGTTGCAGGGATCTAATTTGCCAAGTTAGAGTTTGGATATGTGGAGCCTAGACCAAAGCCACCATCATTTTTGTGCATCAGCCCCTGGACTCCCTCTACTCTTGCCTGCCGTATAGTCAGTGCTCCAAGCTGCTTCTAGGGTGATTTTCAAAAATGTACATCAGATTATCGCATGCACTCCACAGCTTAAGCCCTGCCACCCAGGACCTGTGCTGGACAGTTCTCTCCCCAGATCTTTGCCTGGCTAACTCCTGTTTACAGGTCTCTGCTTAAATTCCACTTCCACAGAGAGGTGCCCCATACCTCATTCTCTTAGTAAGTCAACCTATCACCATGAGTCCCCATATCTGAACCCTCCACATTTGTATATATCACTTATTAATATGTTATATGTTTAATCAAATATCATCTTTCTTCTTCAGTAGAACATAAACTCTACAACAGCAGGAATTTTGCTTTGTTTGCTGCTCTAGTTCCAAGTACCTAGAAGAGCACCTGGTACAAAGTAGGCCTTCAATATTTATTGAATACATGTATTAAAGGGATCAGTATAGGCATAAAAGAAATGGTATAAGACATTCATTAAAAGACCCTGACTGCTTACCTTTTAATTACCACAGTCTAGACCCATCCTGTTGAGAATCTAAACTGAAAGCTCCTTTGCTTAAAGTATCAGTTCTACTTTCCTTATTTGTATATAGGCATCTAGCACACTGAACACAAGTTGAAGGGTATTTAGCTGTTAGACAGTCCAACCACCTTACAGATGAGGAACGAAGCCCAGAGTGGGCTGGTGTCTTTATCACAGTTCCTTAAAACACCAGAAACCTGGTCAGAATTGGAATGTTGGACTCTGCACTTCATGGTTCTCATCCTTTATTAGTCTCTCCTGACACATATCGAACTTTTCTTTTTCTTACTAGTTCAGTATTATGCTTGCTGTATTTTTTATCTTGTCATTTCCTTGCTCTTCCTAAAATTCCAGTTGAAATCCCTATTAATTAGTTTTATTCATTTAAAAATTTATTCTTGTTTGCATTCACTCATTATCTGATTCATTCATTGTTCTTTTCCAGACACAGATTAAACTCTAAAAATCTAAGATGAACCAAAGAGGCAGTGTTCATGCCTAACCTCCTACTATGGGCATCGTTTTGTTCTTCTTGCCTATGTATTCTATAAGTTTGTTAAGACTCTCATAACAAAGTACCAGAAATGTATTGTCACTGTTCTAGAGGCTAGAAGTCCAAACTCAGTGTGTCCGCAGGGTTGGTTCCATCTGAGGGCTGTTGCACACCTCTCTCCTTGCTTCTGCTCGGCTTAGCGCTCCTTGTCTTGTAGATGGCTATCTCCGTGTATCTCTTTCCATTGTCTCCCCTCTCTGTATACCTGCCTCTGTGTCTAGATTTCCCCACTTTATAAGGATAACAGTGCTATTGATTAGGTCCCACACTAATGACCTTGGTTTAACTTGATTATTTCTGTAAAGACCTTCACATTCGAAGGTACTGGGGATTAGGCCTCCAACATATCTTCTTTTGGGGGCAAGGAATGGAGACAGAACTCAACCCCTAACAGATTCTTGTCTGAAAGCACTATATTGCATTTTTTGTTTGTTTATAGGCAAATATGGACTGCATTTTAATTTGTTTTGGGCCTCTTTTCCCACGCAATTCATTTTTCTCAATAACTATCTCACAAGCATTTTGGAGAGCTTTAATTATTACTTTTTTTTTAATTTATAGGTAAAATCTCCCTTCCTGGAGTTCCAAAACATTTGTCTTAATTTTACAATTTGGAGCATTTGGAATGGATTTAAATTTTATTCCATTTGTTTTCTATAGGAATTCAATTATGTGGCTTGAGATCCTGTAATTCCCATAGGGTTTTTCCATCATAGAACGTTGGTCACATCTTTTACACAGAAATTCCAAGGCTGGAGTATATATTGTCTAGTTAGTGTTTCATTGGCATTTGATTTCATGCTACCCTTAAGATGTCTTATACATCCAATTGATTGAAATTAGCACCAATTAACATAAAATCATAAAATAATATGAGCATAACTGGATCAGGGTGTTATCTGAACCATTTTACTGAGTTATATAATGTTCCCCAATGTCTGTAAGAGGTGAACTCTATCTGCTTTCCAGACCCCTTCACTCTGCTATCAAAGTCACTGCCCCAAAGCCAAATTCTATTTTTTGACATTTATGTAACCAAGCAGTTTTGTCTTGCATCCTTCTTCCTTTTACAAATATAAAACTTTAATCTGAGTAAAGATGGAAAAAAAATTACCACCTTTTTCCTTAGGTCCTTCATTTTTCTCCCCTGGAAAATTCCCAAGAGGTACCATTAAATTAAAGTCAGAATGTATTCTTCCCAAGGAATGAACCTTGCTGCTTAAATATGACTTGATAATAATGTATTTTCAACATGATTTAGAAAAAGCACAAGAAGAAGTATGCTTTCAAATGAAAGGGAGCATGTACATAGTGATTTCCTAACTTTTATCAGTAAAACTATTTTTCAATTAATATGTTTTATGAAAGCCAAATAGTTTAAAATGGGTGGAAACTGGTGACTAGTGG